GCCCGGGCCAGCAGCCCGCCGGGCAGCGTGTACTTATCCTTTTTCATGAGCGTCTTGGTTTTCCGCCGGGGCCGGTATTTATAATCCGGGTGCTCCTTCATGTGCAGCGCTCGCAGCCGCTTGGCCTCGTCAATGAACGGCCGCTTCTCCGTCTCCGACAAAAGTTTCCACTCGGCGCCCAGGCGCTTGCTGATCTCCGAGTTGTGCATCTTGGGGTTCTCCTGGGCCATCTTGCGCCGCTGCCCGCGGGACCACACCATGAAGGCGTTCATGGGCCGCTTGACGCGGTCCGGGCTGTTCTTCTGGTTGCCGCCCGCCGCCGCCGCCGCGGTGGAGTTGCCGCCGCCGCCGCCGCCGCCCCCCGAAGTTTGCTGCGGGCCCGGCGGCTTCAGCTCCGTCTCCATCATGTTGTACATGCGGGCGCTGTGCGCGGGCCCGGCCCGCCGGCGGCCGCCGACCCTCGGCCCGGCCGGGACTTTGGGGGGCCCGCGGGCGGGGGGAGAGGAGGGGAGGCGGGCGGGGGTGTCGGGAGCGCAGAGCTCCGCAAGGAAAATCAGGCGAAGAATAATTTGGGGGAAGAAAAGAGAGAGAGGCAAACTGGAATCAGGATCAAAAAAAGCGCTTCCCTCCTCTTCTGGCCGATTCTGCCGCCGCCGATGATTGTTATTATTATTTTTTGGAAAGGCTTAAGCCTGGGGCTCAAACTTCTCTCCCTTTCTTTCTCTCTCCTCTTCTTTCTCTCAGTCCCAGTCTTAAAGAGGCAGCAAACTACTTTCCCCCTTTTGCAAACACTCTTCTCTGCCTTGACAACTCCTGATACTTTTTTGAACAAGTTAATAGACAACCATCCATGTGATGGGGGCTGTCAGGGAATAAATGGGTTTCCAGCGACCAATCAGCGTGCGGCGGCTCCTCCACTCGAGCGGGGCCTCGCCGCCGGGATATGCATGAAAGGGGGCGGGTCTTGCCGCGACTCAGCAAACACAAGTAACGCGGGGGGAGGAGGTAGGAGGAGGAAGGAGAGGAACCAATAGAGTGGGAGATGGCACCATCAAACAGCCAGCCTGGAGCCACTGAGAAACCTTTGTATCCCCTCTCGCAGCAACAGGTCACACCACACGCCTTTTCGAAGGAAGTGGGTAAACAGCACCAAGACTGAGATGATTTCCTTTAAACTTAATGCCGATTTACTTTTTGGTGCGGGCTGCTGAAATGGGGACGGGGCGCGGGAAGCCGCTAAGGTGTGGGGGTGGGGCAGGGCAGAGTGGGTGGTTCAGGGCGACTGTCCTACTAGTGTTTCAGGAAACAGGCAGCGCCGGAGTTGGCGTTATTGTTCTCCCGCTCCTCCGCGCGCTCCCCCCCAACTCCAGCCCCTCCAGCGCTTCTCCCGAGCCTCGCTCTCCCCTGGGCCCCTTTTTCTCCGCAGTTGTCCGCACTCGCTCACCCCCTCCTCACACTGTCCCGACCAGAAGTTAGGAGGCGGGAAGCTCTGTCCTCACAACCCTCCTAGCTTCCACGCCATTTGCTCTGTTTTAAAAATCCATCCTGCTCGGACAAGGAGGCCGAGTGCAGAGCTGAGGCTGGGCAGGCCCTGGGTGAGCTGCCGCGACCACGCTCTGCCCTGCCCTGCCCAGCCCAGCCCAGCTCAGCTCAGCTCAGCTCAGCCCTGCTCTGCTCTGCTCAGCTCAGCTCGGGCGCAGGAAACCACAGCTTGTCAGCTTCCCCCAACCGCATCTCCCACAGCCGCGCTCCATTCAGTCGGTGCAAAGGGGATGCTCATTCTCTCTCCCCATCCTCCTGCTGAGCCGCCCCCAAAGAAGGATTTTAGTTGTGCCGGTTTCAAAAGGAGGCTGGGGATGAAAGAGCTCAGCCGAAGGACGCTCAGAAGTGCAGGCTATGGGGAGCGTTAGCTCACTTCCTGGCGTGCCACGGCTCCACGGAGGTGGCATTTGGGCCGCACACACAAACTCCCTCCCACGCAGAGTTTCCAGGACTCGGGCAGAACCAGCCCTGGCATTCCCACCCCCAAGTGATTGCCTTGCCCCGACGGTCCGCCCGGGTCTGCAGGCTGAGCTCTGAGGGGGGTCTAGGTCTGGGAGGCTGGGTGGTGCTCGCCAGGCACAGGTGCAGGCAGTGCGGGCAGGAAGAGGGCGACCAGGACGAGGAAAAGGGGGAGCCCAGCCAGGCCAGGGCTGGAATCGGATGGGATGAGGGCGGGGGTTGGGGCTCAGAAATCCTGCCCGCCCAGGACCCAAGAGGGTAATTTTAGCCGCTCTCCCATTGTCCGGACGTAAAGATTTCAATAGGTAGGCGCTCAATGCCGAGAGCAATGGCAGCACGTCCGTTACAAATAGGTAGTTTTGTTTCTCTTGTTGTCGCTACACGGAGTCAAACAAAGCCCCGTCTAAGTTTCCTTCCACTCTCTTGTTGGGATCTTTGTGGCTAAAATGCACTTGACTACAAAGGGGGGGGGGGGGGAGAGAAAAAAATCCCCGATGCCATTTCTTTTTTATAAAGGGCTTAAACCATCGGGGTTACTGATTTTCTTTCTTCTGTAACACCCTCTCCGCCCCCTCGTCCCCTGATCCCCCCTCACGCACCCTAAGAAAATGTACTGAATAGTATCTGTCGGCCACGTTCCATTTATTATCTTTACAAAACTTTGCATTGTTTTGTTCCTCACTAACCTCCCCATAAACCGTCATTACCCCCAGTCTAACGTCTTCAGTCTCTGCCCTCCCAAGCTTTTCTGCTCTTGTTGGACTCAAGATAAGTATGCTCGCTCAGAAAAGTTGAGAAACAGAATTCTGCAGTAGACTTGTCCTAATAAATTATTATTTCCAATCAACCCCTACTCCCACCCGCCTCCCGTAGTGCTCCTTTTCCTCTTAAGTTATGGTTTGTTTTCTTTTGGTTCTTGGGAACCTGGGAAGGAAGAGACGGGCCTTCTCGAAACGCATACATATGCCACTCTTCAAAATAAAGCAATGTCTTCTGTTTATTCGAGGTGTAATATTAAGCTAATCTCGGACATGAAGACTAGGAAAGAGAAAAGGTTGCGTGGATCCGGAGACTGGCTTTTCAGTGCGTCTCGGTTTCAGGGATGTGGCTGGTGCGCCCCCTACTGGTGGATTCGCTTTCCCAAGACTATGGCTTTTACCTTTAAAAGGTGTTTGGAAATAAAGAAAAACAAAACAGGAGGGGGATGGGAGGAAGATAAAATTAATTACATGTAATTTAAACAAAAGAGAAGTTAACATATCATATAAGCTATGGAACCAAATCATGAGAGTCAGATTTAATTTGCTTAACTTAGAAACGTACGTATATAACCTCGAGATAAGTGGGAGGTTAAACCATGGAAAAATGAGGTACAAATTATGAGATTCAACATATGAATGAATTATGATTGTCCAGACACCACGAAGGGCAAAACAAGCATTCATTTTATGACTGTATATGTGTTGGTCTGTGCTTAGTAGCATTATTCCAAAAACTAGGGGGGGAAGAGCCTATGACTAATTAAGTTTGAAGACAAAACCAAGAAGTGGTGTGGATATTGGTGGTGTATATGTATTAAAATAAATATTAATAACAGATGGTTATAGAAGCAAATGTTTTTAAAATCTCTCTCTCTCTCTCTCTCTCTCTCTCTCTCTCTCTCGGTAGTAAGTAGTAAGAAGCACAAATTTTTCCTTGGGATAATATGTAAAAGCTTTTATACATTCTCAGATGCATGTGTTTGTGCCTGAATTCTATAATAATTCATTTAAGAGGTTAAAGGGGATGGCTAGGTCTTTTGCTAATTGTTTTTATCATATAAATAAGCTATGGAAATACAGTACAATTGTGTTATCATTGGTTGCATTTATTTACAGCTTTATTTTAATTAAGCCTGCAGTACTTATCAAGGCAATAAACTAACTGTGGCTGGTGTTTATGCATAATAATGTGCTATGAAAGTAAGATTAAAGAAGATGGTGATAGCAGAAATAATTTTCTCATTAGACTTTTTTTTTAGAACATATGCATTAAAAAAAATCAGATCACCGGCCACTCTATTTCAATGCAGCACTATCTCTGGCACCTAAATATAATAATAACTATAACAATCACAATAGATGATAGAAACAGTACCGTTTTAGGTTTATAACAGACGGTTCCAGTACTAATAACAACACACCATTGACTACTAGGGAATTAAAATAAGACTTGGAAGAGGGTGCTTCATCTTCCAAAATTCAAAATGTTGCCATTGGCACAATTTATGAAAATGGAAAGTGCTTAATCTAAAAAGAGTGGGCAGCGAAAAGCGGCACACTTTAGAGCAAGACTAGAAATTAAGAATAAAAATGCCTGAATCCTGGGCTATTCAGAGTTGATTTTGTTCTACTATAGGCCCCAGCCAAAAATCCTTAACTGATTAAATGTAGCTCAATTTTATTTAAAAAATCTTTTGCATTGATATTTTTCTCCTGAACGCCTCCTCATCCCTCCTCAAGTATTATATCTGAAGCCAACTAACAGTTTTGTGGATAGGGGACTGTAGACTTATTTTTTCTTCTTAGTGGCAAATAGAGGTTTAACTTGCAGTAATTAGGTGAGAACTAGCCAAGCATCTTACTATTATGATGCTTGTTAAAAAAAACGCTTCTTTTCTGCATCTGCATTTGAGTGTGTTCCCCTCCTCTCTTAATCTTCTTATGGAAATGAAGGCAACCGGCAGGGAACCTGCAGAGTCCCGGAGAATGTCCTTGTTAACTGGAATTTCTCAGCATTGCTAATTAGCAGAGTTTGACGACGACCACCAGTATTGGGGGGGAAAGCTCTGTTTAACCACTCACAAACCATTCTGAGGAAGAGCAGACTAATTTTATTTTGTAATTAAAATCTGAAAAGGGCCCTATTTGACAGTTAGGGCTATGAGAGTTTTATCTCCCCGTGAAATAATTACTGCCTTGATAACTCAATTTTCTGAAAAATGTCAACTGTGGGCTCCAAAAGTTTTAATTTCATTATGTGAGGAAAAAAAGAGAGCAAAATAGAAGAAAATGTACAGAAAGGCTTTCTAATTCTGGAACTGGTTAAATGTATTAGGAGCCAGATTTGGCCAAATGAAGGTTTTGTTTTTGTTTTGTTTTTTCTCTCCCTTTTTTGTTATGTTTCCTCCGGATCCTAACCTTCCAGCTACCTCCACTGAAAGTGACCAGAGCAGCAGTGATCATGCTGCTGTGAAAGAGAACAAACCAGTGTGGTAAATCAGAGGCAAGTAAAAAGAGAAGTATGGAAATCCAAGAAAATTTCCTGATTTTAAAAGCCAAAAATAAAGGGAAATCCCAGTGTTTAGGACAATACTGGTGCAATCTGGTAAGATGAGATTTTATTGATACTTGTCCCCTAACACAAGAAAACTGAGAATTAC